TGACACTAGATGGGGGGTAAGGGGGTGGCATTCAGAGAGTCAGGAAGGGGTCAGTTACAGTGGGGGCAGGGGTCTATAGTGGCCGTGGATTCTTCAGCATCTTGAGAGCCAGGCACAAAAGCTTTCTTTTACAGGGAGCCAGGGAGAACTGGTGTGGAGTGGAATTAGTGGGTGGGTGTGGATACAACCTGCCCTAGGGGAGGGAGGGGCTGAAGGGCGGCTGTCTGCAGGCTCAGGCTGAGGGTGGGTCCCGATTCAGAAATTGGTGGTGGTGGTGGTTATGTGCTGTGGAGTCAGTTCCGACTCATAGCGACCCTGTACAGGGTTTCCGAGGCTGTATATCTTTTTGGGAGCAGAAAGCCTCATCTTTCTCCCATGGAACAGCTGGTAGTTTCGAACTGCTGACCTTGAGGTTGGCAGCTCAATTTGTAACCACTATGCTACCAGAGCTCCTTTCAGGAATTGGAGGAAGGAGAAAAGTTTAACTATAGTTAAGTGAACAAGAACTATGACTCTGAGGTTGTCGTTAAATGCCATCGAGTTAGGTGCAGCTCATAGTGACCCTGTGTAGGGTTTCCAAGGAGTGGCTGGTGATTTTGAACCACAAGCCTTGTGGTTCAGCACTTTAACCCACGGCACCACAACCGGACTCCTTGATTCTGAGTGTTGTTGTTATGTGTCTTGGAGTCGGTTCTGACTCATAGTTAGTGAGCCTATATAGTGTTTCCAAGGAGTGGCTGGGGAGTTTGAACCACCGACCTTGTGGTCCAGTGAGTTATCCCACAGTGCCACAGATCCGAGTACAAAATGGCTTAGGGTAAGTGTCCCATCTCTAACTTCACAAGGGGGAAGGAGAATAAAGATGAACAACCCTGAGACTGATTCCTGGGAGGTGAGGTCAGACACGTGTGCTGTCTCCCGACTTTTCACCACTTCTGACATTAGCCTTCCCGCCCATGCCTCTCTTGCTGGGTTGGATAATTTGTTGTAACACCCACACAGAACTCACAGTTACAGGGTTTATTAGACAAGTTGTTGTTGTTGTTTAATGCCATCAAGTCGGTTCTGACCCACAGAGACCCTGTATAGAATTTCTGAAGAGTAACTCGTGAGCTTGAACTGCCGACCTTGCGGTTCAAACTGACTTTGTAGTCTATTGCGTTAACCCACAGCACCACATCAGAACTCCATTGAGGAAAAGTAAGAGGTCACAATTGAGAGTCAAAAATGACTCAAGATACAGTTCTTCCATCCGGACAGCCATGTTTGTATTATCTTTACCAAAATTGTATTTGCATGTGATATTAACGACATTGATGATTTCCGCTTTCTGTTGGGTCACGTCTCTTTGGAATGGGCATAAATATGGATCTCTCTCTCTCAGTCTGTTGGCCAAGTAGCCATCTTCCAAATTTATTGGCATAGATGAGTGAGTGCCTCCAGTTCTTCATCAGTTTGTTGAAAGATTTCTATTTGTATTTTACCAGTTCCTGGAACCTTGCTTTTTGCCAATGCCTTGGAGGCCAGGATGGACAAACTTCATCTCTCATACTTTGGACATATGTCAGGAGGGACCAGTTGCTGGAGAAGGTTATCATATTTGGTAAGGTGGAGGATCAGAGAAAAAAAGGGAGACCCCCAGTGAGATGGATTGGCAAAGTGGCAGCATCAATGGGCTCAAGCGTGGCAACAATTGTGAGGTTGGCCCAGGACCAAGCAGGGTCACTATGAGTCGGTACCAACTGGATGGCACCTAACAACAATAATGAATCTTCAAGGGAGCAGAAAGCCTCATCTTTCTTATGCAAAACGGCTAACAGTTTTGAACTGCTGACCTTGAGGTTAGCAGCCTGACTTGTAACCACTATGCTACAAGAGCTCCTTGGTCTTCCTTGTAGGTATATGGATATTATCCTTTCACACACAGTGTTGTACTTCAAGACGTCTTAAAATGTTCCATTAATCAGAGCATGGATTGTATGAAGTATGAATCTAGGAAAATTGGAAGTTGTCAAAAATGAAGTAGAACACATAAAAATCAATATCCTAGACATTAGTGAGCTGAAATGGACTGGTATTGGCCATTTTTAATCTGACAATTGTATGGTTTACCATGCCAGAATGACAAATTGAAGATGAATGGTGTTGTAGTCATCATCAAAAAGAACATTTCAGGATACATCTTGAAGTATAATACTGTCTGAGATAGGATAATATCCATACGCCTACAAGGAAGACCAGTTAATACTATTATTCAAATTTATGCACCAACCTCTAAAGCCAGTGATGAAGAAATTAAAGAATTCTGCCAACTTCTTCAGTCTGAAATTGATCAAACATGCAATCAAGATGTATTGGTAATTACTGGTGATTGAAATGCGAAGGTTGGAAATGAAGAGGAAGGATCAGAAGCTGGAAAATATGGCCCTGGTGGTAGAAATGGTGCTGGAGATCACACGATAGGATCTTTCAAGATCAATCAAGTATTCAGTGCAAATACCTTTTTAAAACAACATAAAAAGTGACTACACACATGGAGCTCAACAGAAGAAATACACAAGAATCAAACTGATTATATCTGAAATGGTGGGAAAGCTCTATATCATCAGCCAAAATCAGGCCATGGGCAGACTGTGAAACAAACCATCAAATGCTCATATGCAAGTTCAGGCTGAAGCTGAAGAACATTAAAACAAGTTCACAAGAGCCAAAATATGACCTTGAACACATCCCACCTGAATTTAAAGACCACCTCATAACAACAACAATAATACGACCAAGAGTCAAGGGTATTGATGGAAGACGTCTCAGCAACACTGAAGGCATTGGTGAAAACAGGCTCCAGGAATTGAAACCTTTGTATTCTGATGAGGCATTGGAGGCACTCACTCATCTATGTCAGGAAGTTTGGAAGACGAGTATCTGGCCAACTGACTAGAAGAGATCAATAATTGTGCTTATTCCAAAGAGAGACGACACTATGTAATGTAAAAATCAGGGCACAATATCATTCATAACACACGCAACTAAAATTTTACAGAAGAAATGGCTGCAATAGTACATTAACAGGGGATTTACCAATAAATCAAGTCAGATTCAGAAGAGGTCGTGGAATTAGAGATACCATTGCTGAAGCCAAATGGATCTTGACTGAAAGCAGAGAATACCAGAAAGATGCTTATTTTTAGTTTATTGACTATGCAGAAGCTTTTGACTGTGAATCATGATAAACTATAGATAGCATTGTGAAGAATGGATACTCCAGAACCCTTAGTTGTCCTCATAGGGAATCTGTACATAGACCAAGAGACAGCTGTTAGGACAAAACAAGGGAACACCGAATGGTTTAAAATCAGGCAAGTTATGAGCCAGGGTTGTATTCCGTCACCACACATATTCAACATGTGTGCTGAGCAAATAATCCAAGAAGCTGGGTTCTATGAAGAAGAATGTGGCATCAGGATTGGAGGAAGACTGGTTAACAACCTGCGATATGCAGATGATACAACCTTGCTTGCTGGAAGTAAAGAGGACTTAAAATACTCACTGATGAAGATCAAAGACCACAGCCTTCAGAATGGGTTGCACCTCAGTGTAAAGAACAGAAAAATCCTCACAACTGGACCAATAAACGACATCATGATAAATGAAGAAAAAATTGAAGTTGTCAAAGACTTCATTTTACTTTGGATCCACCATCAACACTCGTGGAAGCAGCAGTCATGAAATGAAATGAGGCTTTGCCATGGGCAAATCTGCTATACAAGACCTCTTTAAAATGCTCAAGAGCTATGCTGCTTCAAGCCCATCCACTGCTATGGGGTCAATTCTGACTCTCAAAAGCCCTGTAGGACAAAGCAAAACTGCTACTTAGAGTTTGTTGTTGTTAGGTGCCGTCAAGTCAGTACTGACTCACAGTGACCCCATGCACAACAGAACGAAACACTGCCCGCTCCTGCACCATCCTTATAATTGCTGCTACACTTGAGCCCACTGTTGGTGCCACTGTGCCAATCCATCTTGTTGGGCATCTTCCTTTCTCTGTCCCTCCACTGGGAGGATCCAGTTCTGGATGAGGGCAGCTCCGAGTAACCCTATCATTCCTGCACATGTCCCATTTCCTCAGAGAGGCCAGTCTGACAGCTACCACCCCGTATTAGGCCCCCACTTTGGTCCTTGCCTGATAATGTGTACTCCTCATAACTCCCATGGGGATGTGGGCTGGAGGGAGGAGGGTAGGAGCCTGGCTCAGGCCCTGACACCAAGCCCGGTATGCAGGCCTGAGCGAGTGGCTTGCGGGGCACTAGAGCACGCGTTGATAGCCCATCACGAGCAGAGCACCCACCAGGTCTCTCTAGGTTGACCCTGTGGGACCTGGTTCTTGAGTCTTTTCTAGCTCGGCATCCATGGAGAGACTGGGCGCTATGCCTGCACCACCCAGGTAACCGCGCAGGGCCAGGTCAGGCACAGGTCTGGGGAGGTGGAAGTGGCGGGAGGTGACGTCCATCTGAGGACTGGGGCGGCTTCCAGAGAGGGGACTGGAAAGTCAAGGGCAGGGCGGAGGGAGGAGGCGGGGATGGGGGTGCAGTAGGCACCTGGCGCCGCCCCTCCCTTTGGCCTCCGCCTCCCGGCACCTGTCGTGGCCCTTGACGGCGGGAGGGCTCCCCATCGGCGCGTCCCCCGGGGGCTTGGGGACACTCAGGGATGGGGTCACCCGGGCTCCGCCTGCAGGAAGGAGCAAGGCCAGGGAGCGCAGCAGCCTCGGGGGAGTTGGGGTTGGGTCTCCGCGCGACAGGTACTCGGAAGGTCTGTAGCCAGGGACAGGACGGGGCGGGGCCCAGGACGTCCCGCTCCGCCCCGCTCCGCGTACGCCGCCGCGGCCCACGTGACAGGCTCCGGGGCAAACAAGTCAGTCAGCTGACTCGCCTACTGCTCTGTCATCCCGGCTATAAGCGCTCGGCCTCCGCGCTCCGCTCGGATCCGCCGCCGCCGCCGCCGCCATGCAGTGCTCCTGCATTCTGCTGTTCGCCGTCAGCCTGCTGCTCGGCCCCGCGGCCGCTCTCATCAGGTAAGCCCGGACCCCACCCCGAGACCCCCGGCTGCATCGCCCATCGCCTCCCTGCGGCCTTCTGCAAACCCACCTGGCCTGGAGCTTCGGGGGTGCAGGGCGACCCCGGGCGGAAATGCCCGACACTCTCCAGTACCACCATGAGATTGGCCGGAATGACCCCAGCCTCCAGGGGCCGGGGATCAGGGGTAGGAGGAGATGGTGCTGATTCGGGACAGGTGGGGTTGGTGTGTCTGCTGGGGGCCCACATGTGGTGCGGGGGGCTGCGGGGGGCTGAACCTGGATGGAGTCTTCCTCTCTGGCCGCCCCCTCAGTAGCTGCGAACCAGGCTGTCGCCTTGCTCAGTCGGCTTCACTGGGCCTTTCCATGGGCCCTGTGGGGCGGGGGGAGGGGGCCTTCGGACCCTGTGTCATCGGGGTCTCCCAGAGAGGTGGGGATAGGAAGTGTAGATGGGTGGGCAGCCCCTCAGCCAGGCGTCTCCACTCTGGGACTAGTTTGTGTCTCCCACTGACCATGTGCTCCAGCAAAGATCTCGTCTTTCTGGGGCCTAGGGGCCCTAACCCTGTGTACCAGGCAGGGACCCTGAATGCCAACCTGGACCAGGACTGTCCCAGCTAGATACGACCCTCCTACCCCTGCATGACAACTCCCCCAGGATGGACGGGAGAGTAGGGTCCACCCTATCCTGCTCTGGACCTCTCTTCCAGCCCCCCCTCCCCCACTTCTGTGGGCAGGTGGGTGAGATCATAGGTCCCAGGTAGCTGCTGAAGCTGGGGAGCTGGTCTGGCCGGCTGAGGGCTCTGTCAGAGGCTGGCCTGCGTGGGCTCCCCTGAGCAGAGGCCAGGACTAGCTGGCCCCACATAACAGATGTGGGGAGCAGCTATAGGCCCCACCCATGACTTCTCCTCCTAGGAGAGGGGGAGGGAGGAGATAGCCCAGGGCTAGCCTTGGGTCTTGAAGCTGATCCTGATTTCCTTGTGAGGGGGGAGGGGGGAAGGGTGTGTCCCACCCCCAGGAAAATGCCTCAGGCCCTTTCCAGCCCACCACCTAGCTCTTGGGCAAGAATGCATTATTCTTGGTGTACCAGGGAACCAGGAAAGACCTTGGTGTACTTGTACTTCCCAGGGCCTGTGTCCTGGCTCTGGGGTAAGGGGTGCAGGGACACGTGCATGTCAGCTCCCAGCCACTGTGAGGAAGCCAATGAGCAGCAGCCGTGCGAGTTCAAGGTGAAAGGAAGAGTAGTGAGGGAATCCAGGCGAACTTTTCTGAGGAGGAGGATGCGTCCTTGGGTTTCCCTATGGCAGGAAAACCAGGGAGGGTGGCATTTAGGCTGGCAAAGCCTGGGAGGAAGGACCCTTTTGGTTTGGGGTCTGGATGGAAACTTTGGAGGGTGATGGGGAGCATGTCCTGGCTGCCACCTGGAGGAGAGACTGGAGCTGGGCTAGGAGGGGCACTGCACACCTCAGTGTGTGTGTGTCGGGGGGGGGGGGCTTTGGGGCCCTGTGTGGCCGGGAGCCCTTGGGTACCACACAGTGAACAGGAACTCCACTGATGACTGAAAGTTGGAGAGGTTTGAGATCAAAGACTGGCAACCCCTCCCCCAGAATCAGCTACTGAAAGCCCCGGAGAGCCTAGTTTTGCTCAGACAAATGAGCCAGGGTTAGTGCCGTGGTACAGCTGGTGACCCGGCTGAACCAATGGCTGGGTGGATGGTGGCAAGGAACAGGGACAAGGTGAGAACAGCTCAGGGTGGGTGTGACACATGGGCGTCCCAGACTGGCCAGGGCAGCTCAGTGGACACTTGCGGGTATCCACCATGTATTTGAAGCCATGCCGAGCTGGGGTGGTTCTGAGTGTAACCTGTTCTGACCCACATTCCCATAGGATCCCGCTGCACAAGTTCACGTCCATCCGCCGTACTCTGTCTGAAGCTGGAGGCTCTGTGGAAAATCTCATTGCCAAGAACCCCATCTCCAAATATGCCCAGGAGGTGCCCACCGTGAATGGAGACCCAGTGCCCGAGATGCTTAAGAACTACATGGATGTGAGTCGAGGGAGGAGGGCACTGGGGTGACAGAAGCTTCTTCTATGAGAACATCTATTCATTTAGTAAGCTGCTCCCTTGTTCTCAGAAGCCTGTGGTTTTGACGAGTTAACTGCATGTTAGATGGGGGAAGGAAGGTGTCACTTTCCGGCCAAGCTTCTACCCTTCTCTCTCACCCCCTCCCTGAGCTAGGGCGTGTGCCCCACCCTCTGTTCAAGAAGGCAGGTTGGAGGTGACCAGGGCTGATGGCAGTTGGGACAGGTGTCAGGGCCTGACGCTGGCTTTTGCTAAGGACACACAGTGGGGTCGGTCTACAGCCCCGGCTCAGACCTGGCTCAGATGCTGTTTGATCAGCAGCCTTGTGCCTGCTGCTCCGCTAGGGGCAGGCATGTTCAGGGGCATGTGGGACAAGCCCTGGGCTGCCCCCACTTCCAGTTTCCAGAAGCCCCTTTGCTGCCCCTCCAGCCCTGGCCAGTGGTCTGTGTAGATGACACACCCTCTGTCCTACTTGGCCTGAGCCCTGGCTGTAATAGGCATGTGACTAGACTGAAGATGGGGGTGGGGCAGGGAGCCTTCTGTCGGCTGGCTGACCTATTTCTGGTCCCCTGGACACAAGGTCACTGGGGGATCTGCTGAGTCATTCCCCTTTCCTGCAGTCTGGACACTTCTTCTGGGGTTGCCTGTGACCCCATCCTGTGCTGACCAGTTCTGAGGTTCCCTCCCGGGAAAGAAGTTCCACTTTAGGGCAGGGAGGAAACCAAAGCCCTAGCATCTGGTCCTGGCCTGGCCCCATCGCCGCCTCCCACCCCCGTCTCCCCCCCCACCACCACCACCGAGGCCAAGGCCTGCAGAGAGATCTCAACTGCTGGGCATCAGACAGAGGGTGGGGCTGTTGCGAGGCGCAAGGCCAAAGGCAAGCAGCAGTACTCAGGCCCTGGGGTGCCCAGGCCGCCCTGCTGACAGGACCCTCCCCACTTAGGCCCAGTACTACGGGGAGATTGGTATCGGAACGCCCCCACAGTGCTTCACGGTCGTCTTCGATACAGGCTCCTCCAACCTGTGGGTCCCCTCGAGAAAATGCAGCCCGTTCAGCCTTCCCTGCTGTGAGTCTGTCTGTCTGCCCCTGGGAGTCTTGGGGGACCAAGCTGGGCAGGGGTGGGCAGGAAGGAGGACTACAGGGTGGTAGGCTTGAACCCATCCAACTCTGGAAACTGGTCCACTCTCACAGTGGACCCTGTTCCTGGGGGAAAGCAGGAAGTGTCCCCTCGGCACTCCTTCTGGGGCTGGGGGTAAGTGATATGCCCCCCTCCCTGCAGGGTTTCACAAGAAGTACGACAGCTCCAAGTCCAGCACTTATGTGGAGAACGGCCGCACCTTTGACATTCATTACGGCTCGGGCAGTCTCTCGGGGTTCCTGAGCCAGGACACCGTGTCGGTGAGGAATCACGCTGTGCCTTTGTGGGCCAGAGTCAGGGCTTGGTGCTTAGTGACCCCCCCACCCTGGGATGGGGGAGCTGGAGGACAGGGACTCTGTGTGGGGCAGCAGAACCATGGGAGGGGCCATGGTGGTAGGTTTCAGTATCAGGTGCGATACCTTCCCAGGCTGCTCTGAGGTAGGGTGAAGAGGCCCGTTCCCAGAGGAAAACAGGAAGGTGGGCTTCCTGAATGCTGTTTGATGTGGGGACTGAACTCCCTGTGGCTGGCCAAGAGGACAGGGGGCCACGGGGAGGCTGAACCGAGTGAGCCAGAAGCGCCTTGTGAGGGAATGAACTGGGGACCCCGTGACTGCCCTACCACCACTGGCCCCTTCTCTTGGGTTCCTGGCCTGGGGGTCCCCCACAACACCTTTCTGTCCAGAGGTGGAGCCACCATTGCTGTTATGCCTAGCCCCCTGCCATCTGCACCCAGGGGTGTGCACCGGGTGCTGTCTTGTGGCCCCTGCTAGAGGCAGGATGTTGCCACACACACCCTCGCCCCATGGTGTCTGTAGCACCCAACTCTCTGTCCCCCATCCTGCCCTTCCCGCTTATTTGCCGCCTCAGCCTGGGGGCGAGGGGGGAATGGCATGTGACCTTGAGCTACGCCTCAGGGTGGGGCCTCAGGTCCTTGCCTGTAGCCACCAAACCCAGGGGTGTGGATGGTAAGTGTGGGGGTACAGGGGTGTGCCCACCTCTTAGGAGAAGGAGGCCCACTGTGTTCCCCTATCCTGTCCCTGCCTGTCCTGGCCTTCTCTCTCCCACACTGAGAGATGACAAGGAGCTTGGGACCTAGGCATCCGCTCTCAACCAGTACACTGCCCTTGCTGTGGCTTTGGACTCTGCCATGACCCGCTGACCCCTGTGGCCCGCAGGTGCCATGTGGGTTGAGCAGAAATGAAGAAGGTGTCCAGGCAGAAAAGCAGATCTTTGGGGAGGCCACCAAGCAGCCGGGCATGACGTTCTTGGCGGCCAAGTTCGACGGGATCCTGGGCATGGCGTACTCCAGCATTTCCGTCGATAAGGTGGTGCCTTTCTTCGACAACCTCATATGGCAGAAGAGGATGCCGAAGAACGTCTTCTCCTTCTACCTGAACAGGTAGGGCCCAGACCTGAGGTGTCCCCTGGGGTCAGGTGGAGGGAGGAGTGGCCTCAGGGAGAGAGGGACCTGGATGGGGGGGTCATGCCCTCCTTCAGCCTGGGGTCCTCTCAACATAGACCGTGATCATGAGTGAGTGCCTTGGGATTGTGGGGGTGCCAACTGTGGGAATGAGGGGGTCTGGGCTGCCAGCTCTGCTTCCAGGTGGGGGCCAGGCCCTTTGGCATCAGCAGCCTGTACTATAGTAGACCCTTTCCCAGAATTACCTGGCCACCCCTGCACCCCTTTTTCATGGTCTCCGGCTTTGGGTATGGTCCCCCAGGCGCATCCCTGTTGCCTCTAAGCTGCGCTCTGTTCCTCCACCTTCCCCCCGTCCCAGGAGGCTGTATTACATAGGACAGCAACCCGACCACACCGTGCCAAGTGGACGGCCTTCCTGCTGGACTCGGGGTGTGGGCAGGGCATGGTCTCTGAAGGGTGACCCAGGTGTTCCTTGGCACGTTGATGCATTTCCACATGTCCCCCTGTCCCCCTGCCCCTCCCCGGTGTCTCTGGGTCCCCTTTGACAAGGACCCCAGTTGTGAAGACATCAGGCCACACTGCTCTGTGTGACCTGTATCTTAGCCTAGCACTATGTGAAAGACCACGTTTTCAGACAGGTTCCCAGGCTGAGGGCACGAGTCACCCTTGCCTGTATGCACCTTTTGTCCCATTTTCCAGTTAGGCTGTCACAGAGAGTGGGCTCCCCAAGCCCTCCAGTGAGGTGGAAGACAGAGGTCTGGGGAGGTAGAGACATGTAAGCTGGGTGGTCGCCAGGGTCCCTGGCCCTGCAGGGGCTAGAAGTCGAGGAGGTAGAGCAGTGTCGGGCTGAGGTGTGGCTCTGAGGAGAACCAGGAAGACCGGAGGCAGTGAGGTGGCACCCTGGGATTCAGAGGTGCAGGTAGTAGGCAGAGGCGCCGAGGCGTGGCCAGTGGGGGATAGGAGCAGTGCAGAGGGCCCCGGGGAGGCACGGGCCCTTGTCTCATCTTCTTGGGTTGGACAGCTGACACTTCCGGGCTCCCGGCTATAGTTCCCCCTACCTGGTGACCTGGACTCGCTGGAGTAGGCACGCTCTCATCCTGGGAGGGAGTGGGGCCCGGTCACACTGCAGGGAACAGGAACAAGCCTGGGGGGCCGTGCCCAAGGCAGCTCTGGGCTTCCCACTTCTGAGGGAAGAAGTTGTTTCCCTCTCCGGCCAGTCCAGGAGGGGCTGTTCTCCAGGAAGCCCCCAAGATGGGCTGATCCAGACCTGATCCCTGCCCTCCCATCCTGGCTGAGGGTCTGTCCTGCTCAGATCAACTCACTTCCTCTCTGCTTCCCAGAGACCCGACGGCCAAGACTGGGGGTGAACTGATGCTGGGCGGTGTAGATGCCAAGTATTACCAGGGGTCCATTGACTTCGTCAACGTCACCCGGAAGGCATATTGGCAGATCCACATGGACAGGTGAGGAGGGGCTCACCTGCACTACCCCGTCCCCGCCTGAGCTCTGGGCTCCCTGCTCACTGTGCCTGGGCCTGGTTTTGGGGCTAGGCACCTCCTGAGTCCCCATCTCCCTTCGTTCCTGCCCCGGCCTGCCCAGTGAGTAGCATGTCCCAGGGAGCAAGCTGAGCCACAGTCCACCCGGCAGGGCTACAGGGCAGGGCACCCAGGTGAACACTGTCCCTTGTCCCCACAGGCTGGATGTGGGCAAAGGGCTGACACTGTGTAAAGGCGGCTGTGAAGCCATCGTGGACACAGGCACCTCCCTGTTTGTGGGTCCAGTAGAGGAGGTCAAGGCTCTGCAGAAGGCTCTGGGCGCTATCCCGCTGGTCCAGGGCGAGGTAAGCAGCAGGCAGCCAGTGGGCATGCCAGGGGGCGGGGGCTCACCGGGGGGCACCTGCCCACCGCCTGCTACTGTCTCCCGGCAGTACATGATTCCCTGTGAGAAGGTGGCTGATCTGCCCCCCATCACCCTGAAGCTGGGGAGCAAGGACTACACGCTTTTGTCAGAGGACTATGTGCTCAAGGTGAGGGCAGCTGGCGCGGAGCAGGGAGGAGGGTCCGGGGTGGATGGTGACCGGGATGGTGAGCTGACCGTGGTGGCCCTGCAGGTATCCCAGGCTGGGAAGACCATCTGTCTGAGTGGATTCATGGGAATGGACATCCCTCCCCCCGCTGGGCCGCTTTGGATCATGGGTGACGTCTTCATCGGCCGCTACTACACGGTGTTCGACCGGGACAATGATATGGTGGGCTTCGCCAAGGCTGCCAAGCTCTAGTGCCCTGACCAAGGCGGAGCCCGCCTGCCTGCCCCACCCCTCCCCTCTCACACACTTGCTGTCTGTCCTCTGTCTGTCTGATGGAGGGTCCGTGGTATGGATCTGACTCACTAATTTAGAGGGCCTCTGGGAACTTGGCATCAAGAACCACCCCCAACTGCCCCCTGCTGCAGGGTAGGCTCCCTAGGCCATCTGCCTGCCACCAGGCCACGTTCCCCACTTTTCCGGGGAAGCTTGTCTATACTCAGCCCCAGATGGGGGCTCTGCCACCCCCACCCACTTCCTGCCCAGGAAGGGACCTGTCCAGGTCTGGGGATGACCGGAACGAAGCCAGCCATGAGAGGAAACCTTGGGGCCTGACCCGTGGGGTGGGGCTGGGAGGACTGGCCTCCCTCCTCCGCTGCCTACCTGCGAGGTGGAGAGCCCATAGGGGTGAGAAAATACAGTTGTTTGGGTACTTCTCTGCGTTGGTGTGTTTGTGCTTGGCGGATGGGCTTCTAAATTGGGCTGCAGGGGCTGTGGGCTGACTCACATATGGGGAGCGCTATGGGGGGACCTGGCCGCCCTCTTGGCAGAGCCACTGCTGGTGGGAAGCAGCTTGTTCTGAGGCCCAGCCCAGTGACCGGCAGTATGTGACTATGGCCAGGGAGACGGTAGGAGAGTTAGGCACGGCTATCCCACTTGTAGGGGGAGACCCGCAGCAGCCCCACCCCCATGCCATCCCATTTAGGTCCCAGGACGAAAGGCTCTCTGTGGGTCCCAATCTGGCACATGCTGGGTCCCCACCCCCACCC